TTTATTTATAGAACTTTTAATCCTATAGGAGTTTTTGACGTAAGACAAAGCGAATAAATAAATGATACGATATCTATAACAAAATCGCATTTTTTGTACGCTAATCATTTTCATTTCTTTACCGAATACGACCCTGCCTTTCCGATGTCTGCACACGTTCTTTCGATCTATACTCTTGTTTTTCCCCTTCTTTTGAAAGAACTGTATGACTAACGGACTAATGTATAGTCCGAACTTGTTTTCTTAACATAAGAATATTTAACAAAATTCCATGCGTACTCCTTTCCTACTGGAAAGTCTGCGTATCTGGCCAAAAAAGTTATATTGGCGAATGCGTACAATTTATCTCGACAATATATATATAAATATTAGACTTCCTTTCTTTAATTGGAAGTAGAGAGAGAGAGAGCTACACATTCGAAGGCCGTTCAAAATATTTGCAGATAATTTTATATCAAAATCTGTTGATTGATTGGAACTAGATCGCACATGATAAAATTGACTCTCCGACGATCACCCAAACGCATGTAGGCCGGCTTTCAGCTTTCTATCTCAAATTTTCTGATCGTAAGCACGCTAAAGACAAACGAGAGAACTCTTTCGCCATAGCCGAATATATGCAAGCTTTTATCATTTGTCAGAAAAAAAGTTTTATGGAACGACCGGAAAAATAATTAGCGGTCAGATAGCAAAACGTTCGGACAACGTTCAAAAGATCAAGTGAAATTTGAAGCTTGGCATTGTCGTAATAGTGCTTTTCCCTAATTTTTTATGCTGCATAAGAACAAGGTCCACGGCCAAGCACGGAGGGTAAAATAATTTGGTTACAGTATATAAATTTTTGAAAAAATATCACAAAATCATATAAGGTACAGTGAGGAAAAACGGTTTAAAAAAATCTCGATGAACTTCGAAGGTATCATTCAAGCTTGGTATTATGTATCGAAAAAAACATGTCAGAAGCTTTTTTAAAAAGCATGCGTCGCATATGCTAAGCCAACTTAATTTTTTGCAGGGAGGAAATCTTTTGATGTTTCCATGTCCGTTTAGATTGTTTTCACACATATATATACACACACCTGATTTAAAGTTTTCTCTTTTCAAAAATCAAAATCAAATCAAAAGAGAAAACTTTAAATCAGGTTTTTTCGGAAATAATCTTGAATAAGCATATTAGTACATAAATCAAAAATGACATATATTCTTGGTTAATCCAAGATCCTTAACCATTTTATTTCCACTTAATCGAAGACTTACGAGTCTTATACTCGGAAAAACTGGAATAAGAATAGGAAATTTTGAACACGTGCCCTCCGTTAATGGCCTCAGTTCAAAGGCCAAGACGGAAAGCATTCACAGTGTTTACCAGAGTTGATATCAATCTTTACAAAAGTCTTGTAAAGAATCTTGTATTTTTAAATATAATATTTATCGAGACGCTGTGGTATCCAAAACTTGGTTCAAAGCAAATATAACTACATTTTTATCAAATTTCAAAAAAATCGAAAACTCAAGAAGTATATTAAAAACTACATACTATTTTGATAAATGGGGGCATAACAATTGGCGGATATCGGCCGTTTTTCCCCTAAAAAGTCTTATCGATCTAGCGCATGTAGCTAAGCGTGTAAGTAGCACTTCTATCTGATCCTCGGTAACAAAAACATTGCAAGTGCAGCACACGGGGAGATGAATATATGTTCATCGATTCGGAATCTTAATCTAATCAAGATGGGGCATATAAGCCGAATTATGCCAAAAGCATAATAGATTCTGTATTCAAAGTTCTTTAACCTAGACGCCTGTTTCTACCTAGTAATGAAGACATTTTCATTTTGTTCGGGCCATTAAATTGTAAGGTCTCGCTTGTACGCCCGAAAACAATTGCGATATGTCTCGGGCCTAAGAGCTCCTGATGCATACCCCTGAGCGCTACAAACAACATGACAAATCGAATACACTTTCACCGTTCACTGGCAACCATAGAAACAAAAAGGTAAATTTAATTTCAATCCGATATGCTTACACTCGTCACCTCTAATATCAAAGATATTTTATTAGGATCATATCGAAATTTTTGGATACCTATCACGTGTCTCTCTTTCAATTTTTTTCAAGTAGACGTCGAAACTTGAGAAACTAATTAAACAGAGTTTACATGTTATGTAAACGAATCGTGCTCGTTTGCAATACACAACCAAACCCATAAACTAAATTATAGTTATAGTGAATGAGCATACCACACCCAAAGAGCATTATTAAAAGCATAATGGAAACTTTATTACATATTATCAAAAGGTCTACGGGGTAGATTTCTATTGAAGAGTTAAGGTATATTCAATTTTTCGTTGCATTAGTATCACATAGAAATACTTATGAATGGAATATATATATTTTTAGTCGACATATAGTTCGGACTTGATTTAAGTTTGTCCCTCGGTCCGGTTGGTACATTTAATTTCAAATTCGAACATAAACATCTAAAACTAAGAAGAGTTGGTCGCTTTAAAAAATCTATGCATGTATGCCTACATAATATATTATATACAATATATGATATACTATATGATATATTACATATAACATATGATATATTATATGATATATTATAGATAACATATGATAAATTATATAATATATTATGTAACCATATATACACGTGTACATATACATATATAATATATAACTATATATATGTAATATATTATGTAACCGTATATACACGTGTACATATACATATATAACGTGTACACGTACATACACGTGTACGTGTACATATATATATATATATATATATATATATTATTTAGAGCAGTCTAAAATATGACAGGCAAAAGAGCTAGAAAAGGCAAACTCTTTTTCGATTCCTTTATATTCAACGCTTATTTATACATTTCGTGTAAATTCATCGCTTATTTATAATACTTATATTTTCTCTGTGTAATTCAAATATCATGGTTACGAGGCTAAAATTCTACGCGCACAAACGCGAATACACTATACGCATTTGAACAATTCATCGTGTAGTTGTTGTTGTTATGTTTCGTGCTTGAAACATTAAGTGCTACAGCGAAAAAAAGAGAGAAGAATATATCTTGTGAGTTGAAATCGAATCTAAAGTACCCAACCAACATGTATTAGGTGAGACACGTTTGACATATCTAAGAGATATTAAAGTATTAGTAGCTACACAAAACTTCTGTTAGAAAAGTTTATTCAAAGTTTTGAATTTCAATTAATGACTGATATGAAGTGGTATCAATGATTAAATATATATATTATATATATATAATAAATATCGCTTAGGTTATGCTTTATGTTTTATATTGAACGCAAATTTCCAAATTTATCTCAATATATTAAGTCTATTCACTTAAAGAATGTGTTCCTTTTCTTTTTGTGTTGAAATTTATTGTGTGGACTCTGTCTTCATAAACTGCAAAGTTATTCCCAATGTGTGTTAAAATGAAGTACAATTCTTCTGATCATATATATAAAGTTGGATGAAGTGCTTTCTTTTATTCGCATTCATTTAGTGAAATGTTCAGCATATGATTGCTTGTATTGTTCTATGCATGTCAAGAAAAAATGTCATATGCATTCGCTGTGCGCATGTTAAATTAATGCTACAAAAAAACCAACAACAATAACTATACACATCAAAAGGCCCTAAAAAACTAATTTCAAACAATCAGGTAGTAAGAGAATGATTCACATGCAAACGTATACAAGCATGCGAGAAAATTATGCATATACATACACTACACTACTACTATTGTTACTACTACTAAAATGTAGAATTACGACGAGTTGAAAAATAAAATTCAAAAAATGAAAGATGAGAAAAGCGAACGACAATATGAAATCTTGTCGTTTGTTATACGTAAGAGGGGTTGACACGAAAGGCAAAAGAACCTTAGCTGATTATTCCCTGCGCGGCAGCTGTGTTTTTTCGTTTTGTTTTATGATATTTTTTCTTTCGCTTTTTCAGCTAAGCACTCATATACACAAGCTAGGCTGCTTACACCTCAACTACCACCATTTCTTCCATTGCAAAGGAATACACACAATATACACACCGTTGCATAGTACACAACGGCACAAAGCTATTATTAATTTTGTTGCTTTTGTAATGTTTAGGAATGAAAGATTGTATGATATAATCACCCCGAAAGTTGTTAGTATGCGTTGGGCAAACAAGATAGACAAAAAAACTCAATAAAAATATATTTACATCCAATTAGAGTGAAAAAGATAACGTTACTTATATGCGACTCTTTTTACTTATACATTGTACTAGTGTACAGAATATTTTGTCTACAAAGAGAAACCAGTTTTTGAGATTACGTGTTTTAGTATAAATGCATGCGTGATGTATCTTTTTTTTCTTTTTTTTTCGATTAAAGCATATAGAGTTGCCGTTTAGTACGCGTATAGTCGTTGAGTTGAGCAGTTCGGTTGGGTTGGTGTGTTTTATATGAAATAAGAAACAGTTTTTCCATACTTGAGTTTATTTAAAGAAAAGAAGGAAAAATCATGTCATACAAGAACTTTGTATAAGGGAAAATATAAATTGTAATAAAGTGGATAATATATTAACAAAAAGTATTTAATTGCATGGATAGAAGTGAAATTATTTCTTGGATAAAGCATTTACATAAGAGCAGCGTCTTTCATGGCTGCAAAAAGAGAGACTAATTAGAAAAAATTAAAAAAAAAGAAAAAAAAAAAAAAAAGAAAGAAGATTGGCCCGTGAATTTACAGGTGCTTGGCCTTAATTATTTTTCAAGTTTATTAGGATATTTGTTTAAAAAAAAAATTGTTTGCCTTGCAATTAACGGCAGAAAACCGAAAAGAGAGAAATCCTCTCATCACTACTTTTGATTACACTAAATATACAATATAACACCACCGTACACCATATATATAAATATATGTATATATATATGCTATATGTATGTATGTTTATGTGTTTTTAGACATGTTCCCGTTTTATTATTTATAGTACACTTAAAAACGAAAAAAAAATCCCAAAATCCCCAAAAATAACACTCGTGATCTATTAAACAAAAAGGCAGACAATTTAAAAGCATACAGAAAAAGAAACTACGATGTTGCATGCCATGCTACAATTTTCATTTCGTTTAAATTCGATTTTACTTTAAACGATGGATCGTCGTGCTTTAAAAGTTTATTCAAGAAGGTATTTTTTTGTTCATTCATCATATTTTTTTTCTTACTTTTTTTTTTTTTTTTTAGATTTCTTTCCAACTTTTCTTCCCCTTTCGTTTTTAAAACATGTTTTACTTATTGCTCTTTATTTTCTTTGCTGCTGCCTTGTAGTTTTGTTGTATGATGTTGTTATGTTTTGTTTTGTTGTATTTTCTGCTTGGCTCTGTGTAAGCAAACACAATTATTTGCTCTTTACTCTGTAAAGGTATATTTTCTCATTTGTTTAATATCTCTTTTTTTTTTTTTTTCTATTCTAATCTTTTGACATACCTACCATAATTTTGCTCTCTTGCAAATTATAGATTATTTTGAATTGCACACAGCACAGGGTTGCATTTTCTATTAATTTTGGGTATTTTGGTGATTTTTGTACCCACCATCATATTTTATATATATATATATATTTTATATATATATATATATATATATATGTATATGTGTGTATATTTATATGGATGAGAAGTTCATAAAATGTAAACAGTTTAAAAAAATTTAAGTTGAAGCTTACTTTCTTCACATATAATATTATTACTGAATAAATATATTTTCGAAATGAATTGAAGTCAAAGCAGTTATTAAATTAAATGAATGGTGAAATTCGCTTTGATATATTTGTTCATATTTACATAAAAGCATACTTGGTACAAATTTCTTGTTATTTGTATAAAAGTTGTGAATTTAATTCATTTTTTTAAATCATGCTAAACTTGTAAATATATAGGATTGTTAACTTGTTATAAAATATTACATACATTAGTAAATGCTTTACCGAAAAGCCGCATGAAAACGAAACTGAGGAGATGTTTATGTATATATATATATTTATATATATTGTATATACATTGTCGTATATAACCCGCCTTGACTGTGGATTATGGCCACATAATATTTTCGGATAATTTTTCATTTTAATATGAAAATGGTTTTTGCTTATGAATAATGAACAGATTAAAAAATGTGGCTAAATGTTAAAGATTTAGAAAATGTAAAGAAAAAGAGTAGCCTAACTTGCTATGCCACCCATGCAAAAACCTTCTAATAATATATGTTGTTTATAATATTTGCAAAGTATTGGCTTCATTTTGCAAAGCAATATGGTGAAGATCCAAAAAAGAAAGTGAAGAAATCGTTTATTCGATATAATAATCAAAATCCAACGAGTTATAACTGATTCAATGTGCAACTAAAAGCCTACGCCACGTTTGACGGAACATCAATTACGTGTTGGCATTCCGATCTGTTTTCGCGTCTATTATCGAATTTCGAATAAGCTTGAGTACTGGTAACCATTCTTCGTCGTTTCTGCCTTAAACGTGTGCTATTGGCTTTTACGTCAGATTACACGTCCATTGTGACCACAGCAACATACCTTTCCCGCTTGTCGAAACCATTTAAATCTTTCCTAAAATTGCATATTTTAATTGCAAATTTTATAAGCTTAGTGGGAAACAATATGCCAACATTTGTCGTCTCGGAAGGAAAATAGAAGATTAGCTGTGATTCGGACACTTGAAATTTGGATTAAACATGAGACACAGGTTTTGCATATATTTCTTTCCCAAAAGAACTCGTTGCACTCACACATAAAGATTGGAATTGTCTTTGGGTAATGTCTTAAAAATTTGTTCTTCCATATTTTTCAATTATTTGTTCCTTTTATTTAGTTACTTTTCGCATTAAAAGTATTGGTTTGTTTGTTTTTGTCTTTCTGAATTCCCAAAATGCACATTTATCAAAACCAGTTTCCCGCTGTGTTGACAACTGCTGCTTCTGCTTTTAATGTTTTCGTCTGCCTAGTCGTTGGTACGATTCGTGCGGACATTCGATGTAGTGAAGTAGTATGTTTTTTATTTTACTTTCTATAAATCTTGGCGTTACCTCTACTCTCTAAAGTCATTCAAGTCAACCAGACAAAGTTTCGCAATGGTTAGCGTTTCTCCTGTAGCGAAGAGAAAAGAAAAAAAAGAAAAAAAAAAAACAATTCCAGCTTTTTTTCTTTTTCTCTATAGTGGACTGGCTTAATAGTGGAGGTGGTTGATTTTAATACATATTTTTTCTTTTGCTATGTTTAGAAACACTAACATTGCAAAACTTTAATCAGAGAGCAAAAGATTAAATTACAAGAAAATAATCTCTGAGACGGTCTTTTATAATATGTATGCAGTGCAATAGGGCTGCCAAGTTTTAGTATTTAACATTTTATTTATGCTAAACAAATTTAAAGATATAAAGACCGTTTCGAATGTATTAACTCGAATTCTATATGTAAAAATTAAAAAAAAATTATATTAAAAAGTAAAATTGTTCGATCAACATCATTATTGCAGCGTACTACATTAGCGCATTATATTTTTAATACGTTTTTTTTTTTTGTGCTTCGCTCTTCTTAAGATCTGCATTTTTAAATGCAGTTGCTATTCGAATGACACACACACGCACACACAAACTATTATTTCAGGTTACTCTTTGTTTGTTACTATTAAATTTAAAAAATTTTGAATTTTTTTAGTTGGCTTTGTACTTTATTTATTTATTTATTGATTGTATTTAGATACTTGCAAATTGATATATAAGATAAACTAAGATAATATAAATCAAAAGTAATCTATGGAAACTGGGCGGTAAATAATTTGATTGCATAGCTGCTATTAGATATAGTGAATCAACAGTTGCCTTGTGCAAGATTCGCTTAATGTGCTTTTAAATTATTTCCTATTTAAAACTGATATTAAATATATATTTAAAAAAAAATCTTTCATAATAGCAGAAGAACAACGAAATTAAAAACAATACTTTTGGATATATATATATATGGTATTCCATTGAAAACAAATATAAAATCGCTTTAATCTATCTATTAGCTTATTGCCGATCTACTAGTTACATCAATTTGAAAGTAATTGCGATGGAACCAAACCGGAGAATGGTGAAGAACATTGTGCAAGTTTTCAAGCTTGAACAGTTTATGATGGAAACAAGTTATGTACGGCCTACACTTCCTGGTCACAATTTGCTCATATATTTTCTAATAGATTATATGTTTATATATATAATAGATCATATATTTTCAGATAGATAGATGGGCTTGGTCTAATGAAAGTCCGTTATTTCTCTCACGATCAAATTGCAAAATAAATTTTTGCTTGGCTTAAGGTTTAATAATGGGTATGAGAATGGATAATAGTGTATATAATATAACCATTATAAACCAACCTTGACGCATTAATTATACATCCTTTTCAAATTACAATTCTAACAAAAATGCAGTATTTCAATAATCAAGTATTCGTGTTTGCAGGTATTGCTTTTACAAAAAGGCTAGCGGTTTAGAAGCCAAAAAATAATAGTGTACCGGTTTTTTGCAATTTTTGGTAATACACATACATTATATGTTGCATTTCCAGCGGGCATAAATTGCCCGCTATTTTAAATCCAAAAATCCCATTTCTTAGCTCCTTTCGCCAAGAAATGCAGATTAATGTCTTAGATAATTTTAGGAGATTGCATTTCCCTTGCTATTAGATCACGTAAATAAATCATCAATGTGTATTCTGAGGAGACTTCACTGTAAATAATGGAAGAAAATATTCCAACAATAACTATAGCACACAAATTACAGATTTTAATCTTACATGCACATGTACGTACATACGGTAATTAATTACGCTTCAAGAATTTTTAACAATTTCCCGCTAAAAATTTATACATGCATATTGGCAACCTTTTACAGACAACGTTGTCTCTCTTACACTAATGGTAAATGGAACAAAAGCAGAATTAAAAGAAAAAATGTAAATATTCTCATGCTCTGGCAACATAAAAAAAAAATAAAGGAAAATATGTTATTGCCTGAGAGGTTTGGAGTGCCACTGTGAATAAATGGGAATATTGAGAAAAAAGGAACACAACAAAACTAAAAAAAAAGAAAAAACCCTCAGACGTCGAAAACTAAAATAAAATGAATTATTTAAAAAAAAAAAAAAAAAAAAGAAAAAAAAAAAAGGAATACATGCAGTTGAGTGTGCCTGAAAATAATCGATAAAATACGAAAGTGTGCGCGCGCACTTCTTACACTAGTACTACCCAACTCTGTGGCACACACAGGCTCACTCTAGTAACCCATACACACGTTAGAGCATATTTTGTTGGTAACGATGAAATATAAAAATAATACCATGGCTGTTGAGAAAAAAGGAAAAGAAACATTTGACGGACCACCACATGTACTATATAGGAAAAAAACCAAAAACGAAAAAAAAAAAAAAATTTTAAATTATTGTATGCATGCATTTCACATACAACATCCATAGTTACTTTTCTTATTTGTATTATGGTTGTTTAGTGTGTACTCTTTCAGAGAGGGATTAATTTTTTTTTGCGTTTGTATGGGCGCATATGCATACATATATGCATGTGTAGATTTACTACGGCTTTGCTTGTTCCTGTGTATGCTTTTTATGCTTTGTTGGGTTAATAACATTTGTGATTTGTTATTGTTGTTGTTGTTGTTGTTATTTCTGTCGCTGGCTTTTTTTTTTTTTTTTTGTGCCTTCAATCTTTAGTTGTTGCTACATTTCAATGTTACTGTTCACATTTTAATGGTTTTCTCTAGTAACATACAGTTGTTGTTGGATTTGTTTTCTTTGTTATTTCGTCCCATGTTTTGTATAATTGATGATAGCGATGAAAATGGTTGCTTGGTTTTTTTGTTTTTTTTTGTTTTTTGTTTTTTTCCTTTAGCTGTCAAAGATGTTCCCTTTAATCATGGACGTGCCGAAGATATTGGCTTCGATTGGTTTCGTATAGTTGATGTTTTTGAAATGCTTGAATGAATTCGACTCTGCCATATCGAACTTGATACAGATTTATCTTAAAAAAAGTAAATTGTTAGATTTGCTTTACTTCATAAGAGAAAAATTTATTTCAAATAATCAGAATGAACTGGGTTATCGATTGCTCCAAGTCAAAAGA